ACGTGCCCGGTATAAACTAGGACCCAGCTTATTGCTTTTCCTGTCTTCATGCCCAAACACAGCTTGGTCAGTGAAGTGGTCTAATAAGCTGAGGATAAAGCTTCATTGGTATCCAGTCCTTGAAGAGCTGAGGGTGGTTCGTATGAATTTGCTCTACTCCAGAAAGGAGAGTCATAACGGAAAAGGTCCTGTGTGGCAAAATCATTTTTCAATTATTAACAAAATACTTGAACAACCATTAATTTTATTGTCTTCAAAATCGATGAGGAGGGAAGGATCTGAGTCTAGATGAGGGATCAATGTGGCGGCTGTGATGCACGATCATTTTTAAATATGACACAACCGTAAAAGAATTTCTTCTTTTCTTATATGGGGTACTCATCCGTTTTTCTTTTTCCCTCTGGGGGCTAAATGCTATGTAGGTATAAAGCAAAAATCCGTTTCTAGGATGTTTGAGAAAACAGAAATCGAGTTCCCTTTCCCCTTTGTAAAACGATGCACTCATTTAATGAAAAACACTAATATTGAACTTCCATTCTTTGGTTTATATCTTATCTTTTTTACGATTTTTGACATTTCCCAAATTGATTTCCAATAAACAAACGGTTATTACATATGGTTCTCATTTTTGGAAACATTTTAGTTGTATTTCGGTGAGGTACGATCGTGAAATAACGTTGGCACTTTCCACATTACCCTTTCAAACAGGTTATGCTTACCAGCGGGTTCCTCTTCAAATTTTCGTTCGTCAAAATTGAAATTGTGGCTAAGCTGAAACATCAGGAAAACGTCATAAGATGTTTGCTGTTTAACTATTGTAAGAAAAAAAATTCAAGGCAAGAAGTTTTCCTAACGACACAATATAACGTTTCTTTACGGGTTAATCAAAGTACTTATAGTTGCATACGGCATTAGGGCGTAAATGAAATGAGTGGGCCACAGGGAGGCATCTACATTATCAATTATTGTCATACTAGAGGGAGTTTCCTCTAACGATTGGACCCCCCCCCCCTTTTCTTCCTTTGGTAATTGTGGGGGAGGATTCCGTCGAATGGAACAAAATGGCTGTCTGTGTTTTTATAGGACCTTTGAAATACTCTTTTGGGTATTACCCTTTCTCGACAATTGGTTTAGATTGTCCTTAACTTTTTAGAAACCACATTTCCCCCTAAATAATTATGTGGAAGAAAGACCAACGCATCCCCTTCGATGGAAATCAGCCTGTTATCATTTGTTTCCATAATGTTGAAATAAAGGATTCTACCTGCTTCAGTTTTGATCTTGCAGTCGGAAAAACTTTTAACAACGCTGTTATATCTTTAATTCAGGATTGATTTACGGGAGGAAAAAAAATAACATTACCTTTGGTCAAAATTATTCAAGCTTGTAGGTCAAAGCAAGTAAATAAGAAGTGAATTTCTTTCTGCCAATATACTTATAGCTTAGCTGTCATAGATCTGAGTTTTCATCTCGTGGGGATGTGTTTTATTCATAAACTTTCGACTTAAAAAAGAAAACGAGCCCACATAGAAAGCCCATTCATAAAATGACATGCATTAGAGATTTTTACGGTATACCTTGGTAAAAAAGACAGAATCTCCTTCCTCTGGGATGACGTCTTCGTGGTGTTTGTTCACTATGCTATGACTGAAATCATCAATCTCTAAGAAGCAAGATCCACTCTGTTCGTTATAAATACCTTTCAAGCAGCCGCGTCGTCTGTTACAGAGAGCCATGCATTCCGTCTCATCTACAGCACTATGCACTTCGAGTGACCTGTCTACTTTAGAAGCTTTACTGATTATCGAGAAATACGAAGAAGTTCCTTCCAGGTTGCTTTCAAGCGCCAACGAAGTCATGAGGAAAACGTAAACAAAAAGAAAGTGAACAATCGTTGTTTTCGGAGGATTTCTAGACATCTTAGCCGATTTTTTTGTTTTCACTTGAATCCTTCTTTGAACCAACAAGTTTCAGTTTGCCTGGGGAAACCTACAGCTGCAATAGAGAGAGAGTATCTCCCCTTCCTATTACAGCTGTCAAAACGTCTTGGTCTCAACTTAGTTGGAGACACGAACTTGTCAGAGTCTAGTTTTTTTTGGCGACGCATACAACTGAAGCAGGCGGTATATCAAATTGGTAGCATTTAAAAACGAATCAGTCGACAGTCAATTCCCCACGTTCAATTCAGAGCTGTATGCGTTATATTTCAATCTGTTGGTATCGTGTCGGAACCAACAAGTTTCAGTATGCCCGGGGAAACCTACAGCTGCAATAGAGAGAAAGTATTTCCCCTTCCTATTACAACTGTCAAAACATCTCAGTCTCAACTTAGTTGGAGTCACGAACTTGTCAGAGTCTATTTTTTTTTTCCGCATTGCATATAACTGAAGCAGGCGGTATATCAAATTGGTAGCATTTAAAAACGAATCAGTCGACCATCAATTCCCCACATTCAATTTAGAGTCGTATACGTTATATTTCAATCTGTTGGTGTCGTGTCGGAATAGAAATGCTCAGTACCTGTTTTCACGAAAGTAATGAGGTAAGATTTACTCGCAAAGCAAAATTGTAACAGTTTGTTTATTCAACCAAGTGGATTATAGAAGTCCCTCTTTTAAAAATGTTTACAAAAAAACCCTTTTAAATGATATCTCATAGAGAAGTTCTTGCCTATAGTAAATCGTTTGCCATGCAATCAGACTGATCGCCTCTAAACCAATATGCCGGTCACGGAAGCATTTGATGGTACAACCTCTTTAAATATTTTCATTCCTTTTTTTTTTATCTTCTTTTCTTTCCTTTTTTTGGCAGGGAGGGACTTGCGCAACCTTAAAAGATAATTTTTAAAGCTGAACACTGATATTAGAGTTTCCCTCGAAACATATTAAGGGAAACTTCATCGTGATTTGCGCATACTTACCTAACTTGAGAGACGACGACGAGACGACGCGAGCATCCTAATCATTTTATCAGCGTGTTCTTCACTCGGACAGAGATGTCTCTGATAATAGGAATAGTTATCAGTCTGATGCCATACGGACAACTCACTACCACTTTACAGAATATAGAGGCTGATAAGAATCCATAATTTTATATTGGACTTAATTCGCTATCTAACTATTGAATCTTATCATTACTATATATCTGTCTAATCGCTTTTGCACAAGGTTTCTCATCCCAGTTCTCTTTTTCTACAAGTAAAAAAAAAACATTTCGTTGTAGATACAATTCTGATGTCTGTTTTCCTTTTAAAGACTAATCGCACAGTCCTTCCAAGAAATGTATTCTAATAGCGTGAAGAATATGAACAAGAAGAGATAAAGCCAGAAAGGATAAAACAAGATAAAGTATTGAAAGTGGACGAATAAATGGCATTTTATCGAATAGCACAACAACGAGATAGACATTCCAGTCCTTGGCTAAAACTGCGATTCATTCTCGTCCGTTTTGTTCAAAGTCATTTTTAATTTCAAATTTCTGACAGCATTTTTTGAGTTAAAGCATTATTGTACAAATTTTCTCCAATTTGAAAGGGTTTTAGACATTCTGCTGACTTTATGCCAATAAGTGAAGATTATCGTCGTTTTTCCGAGTAATTGGAAACTCGGCACTTTTAAAGTAATTGCTTTTGTGTCACTCAAAGTGGAGAAGTTAATAGCTTTAATATCAATAACTGAGTGAAAGATTTTTACCTTTTTGTTATCGCGTATAAGATTATCATGCGAAGTGGAAAATGATTGAGCTCGGTCAGCGCACTAAGTACCAATCACGGATGATTATCCACGTGATATACTTTTCGGGATTGTGACCGTCATTCAGTGATTCTTGGTCTTGAGGAGGAGAACTTACTTTCTTGTAGGTGCTCAGAAGAGGCGTTAAAGTTGCTGATCACCGAGAAGGAAAAAGCACAATTCTCCACGTAACATATTTACATAAAGAAAACTTTTGGGCTTCCTGTTTTTGAGCCTCCTGCTATTCCGAAAAATATTCGAAAGGAAGAAAAGTAATCTTATTAGATGTAGAACTATAGACATAAAATTCGTGTCAGGATATTGATATAGAGAACATGGGTTATTTTCCCTTAAACCAAACAAAGATTTTCATTTTATTAAGATTTAGATTCAGACTAATTAATCTCTTTTTTAGGGTAAATTACGATGTCGAGAATCGAATTGTGGCAAAAGAACAAGAACGTTTTGTTCTCTTTATTTCAGAGATGCTTGACTCTGTTCAATAATTAGACATACCCTAATATGAAATGTCGCTTGCCTGTTTCGTTTTATTTCTCTTTAATTAGTTACTCGACAACAAAGAGTTTTACCTGCCAAACTGACATTTAGATTTTTGTTTGTAATTACCTTGTACAAATGCTAATCACCAATCCTTGTAAACAAAGGAAAGTCTCGTTTTTTCATTAAATTTTTCTAAACACCGATGAAATTCTGAATTTGGCGTAAAACTATCGGTGGTTTCGCGGAAGCGCAAGTTTACGTGAAAAACTGTAATGTCGCGCGCGCGAAGCATTTGTCAAGTAAACAACTTCCCACTGAAAATTCTGTATCAATCAGAAATCATTTTAAATCCAACAAACCCTCGGATATTTAAAGAAATAAAAACCTGCTGCGTTCATGATCTTCGAATACGATTAAAAGGTCTTCCCACGTCTGTATGACGAAAGCTTGTATTTCGCATCGTCATCAAACAGACCCTTGTTTGGAATTAAAAAGAGGGAGTATAATGCCTCCCCAGGGCTAATTACCTGGGCGGGAACATTGCACATAGAATTATTGATTGTTACCTTATGCCCGCGTTATAGGTTCGTGTATAAGAAAAATATTTATTTTCCGTGAATTATACGAGTTCAATTTGTGCTTATTGGTTCGGTGGCCATGGTTTGACAACTGACGTGAGATGACAGATCAGGTTTCTCAAAATGAATATTCTTACAATTGTTGATCAGCCTTCACTCAAAAATTTAATTTTTCTCAGCACGATTATAATTGAAAATAACTAATGTCGGTCGACAAAAGTAGAGAAGAGACGACGAGAAAGTAAAGTCACTTAAGTTAATCCGCAAACGTTGGAAGGAGAGTGTAGATGTGATTTTACTGAGGTTATGCCAACCCGCCTTAGTTACGACCTGATATCTGACGATGGAAATGCAGGCCAAAACTTATATCAGAGTGGCAGTCTATGCAGCGATTTTCATCGTGGGATTTTTGGGTAACTTGCTTACTATTATTGTTATTATTCGTCGGAGACAGAACATGTCCGCATATCAGATATTAGTCCTGAACTTGGCGATATCAGACTTTCTTTTCCTTGCCTCCCTTCTACCTTTGACAACCTACGAATTGTTTGGGGTTATCGCAAAGTCCGAGATTTACTGCCGATTTCTTTGGCCAATGTACACAATCTTCTACCTCCTGAGTATATTTACTATCACCTCCATGGCGCTTCAACGTTGTCGTTCGATTGTCTTCCCTCACCGGCCGAAACTGAGGCAACAAAAGGCGTTTGTTTGGGTGGCCGCCATTTGGTTTGCAGCGTTCATTATCATCTTACCCCTTGCTATCGTGACAACGTCTGTCCCACCTGGTAAATGCCACGAAAACTGGCCGAGCTCTCGTCACAGACAGGCATACACCTTAGCACTTTTCCTCTTACAGTATTTAATACCCTTAGTGATCATTACCATCGTGTATGCTAGAATCGCACTTTCCCTACTTCATTTTGGTGACTTCAGGCGCAACGATAGTTTTGCAACCGAGGAACAGCGCGCGGCGGAGGCAAGAAGGATAAAGAGAAGAAATCAGGCCATCAGGACATTAGCAGCCGTTGTCATTTTGTTCGCCATTTGCCTTTTTCCTGGGCAAATAGCCTGGCTGTTGTTTGACTTTGGAAACGGTGGAAAAAGTCAGGAAAAGGCTATCGATACTCTTCTTAATTTCTCAGACGTGCTGGATAATTTCCACGCCTGCGTCAATCCCATTATTTATTGCCTGTTAAGCACGCGGTATCGCAAGGAATATTTCAGATGTTTGCTTTATTTATTTCGTAAAAGTGGGGGAAATTAGCTGGACATTAGACCTAGGGGAAGGTTTAAACCAAGTCTAATCGTATAAATAAACAAGGAAAAATTTAAATAAAAGGTGAAAAAGCGAGATAAAAAAAAAAGTAACGGGCGAGATTAAAAATCTCTCTTTTTAAGAACAACTGTATGGTGTAATGCTTTTCTACATGTCGTTATGCTGTTTTCACAATTAACATTTACGGAGGTGTAAAAAAAAAAATTTAGGTTAAAGGCCCTCAAAAAAATAACAAGTACGCTATTTAAAAATGCACGTTCCTCTTGAGCTAGCCAGCTGAATATTCAACTTTGAATTAAAGAAAAACGCAGATAATGCGTTTTTGACAGAGATCACTCGGCACACAGGATGTAGAAATTAAATTTTCGCGGCATTTATTACCAAGCTATACCTTTAATATACGTAATTTTGACGTGGTGAAAATTAATTGTACGCTAACCGTCATATGTACTCGCTTGTCTATCCTCTATAAGCTATTTGCAAACAAAAAGGTTGCTGAAAGTTAACCATTTAAAAAGCTTTAGCCAGTAAGAGAAGCTTTGTACACATTCAGCTATTAGCTAAGGTTTATGTTTCATAAATGGTCTGTAAAAAGGATCCGTTTCTTAGCAAAAACAACAATCTTCCGAGGATATCGTCGGTTAATAGAAAGCAGTCGTAACATAAATGTATCTATCTTCCAAACTTTACACCCGCATTTCCACAAAGGTAAAAAACAAGCCTTTAAGATTGAGAGAGGTGCTTTACTCTCGTTGAGAAGTTGTCTTGTTTCCTCTAATTATTAAGGATTGATTAATCCATTAGTGTAAAAGAAGAACCGTTTGTGCTAGTTACTCTCAATAAGTCAAGTTCAGGACTAAGCAATGTAAATAGACGGATCTTTATTGCATGATTCAAGCGTCAAGAAAAATATGGAAATTCAAAAGGATAATAAAATTATCTAAACACAGTCACGAAAAGCAGTTCTTGTTCTGACATGAAGCAGAATTCATAATGATTTGCCAGGTATGGCTTTTATGCATCCAATCTTACATTCAAGTCCAACTGAAAGCCTCGATTCAACCTAATTTTGTAGAAGTTCAAAATAAATTCTTCTCTCCAGAGAAAAAGACGAAGAAGAAAAAAGGGGTGGAAGGCGAATTCATTCGAATCAGCTGCTTTCTGAGTTATTTCCTTAGTGTTATTCTCTCTTTAATATCGTCATGGAAACAAAGGAATGGGAAAATATAAACGCTATTGAAGGGAGAACGCTTAAAAAAAGACAATGATCGAAAAAACGCGAAAATTGCTCAGAAACTTCTCAACGGGTTGCTCGCAACAAGCACTATTCATCCAAGCGATGTCCCAATTGAAGGAAAATAGTTTGCGCAAAAACTTGGGTGAAAGAAGCAATCCTACAAAGGGATACTGAGCCTATGATAACATGTTGTACTAGTTTTGGGACTTGGTCTTAGTTTTTCAGGAGTTTCTTGTCACAGCCCCCTCTAAATACCATATGTCGTAGCAACATCTGCACATCCTACACTTTTTGCGGGGGCAAGTGCGTCTCCATAAAGAAACTAACCGTCCGTCTGTGACTATTTGTACAAACCTTAAGCTTGTTTGGTGAGAGGTATGTGCTGCTTAAGTATCGCTTCATGATCATTGTTTCTTAAGGAGGTTGATGGAGTCTTCGCTTCGTTTCAAATTCATTCCTCTCCACCTCAGTGGCAAGATAACCCTTTGAAATGAAACATGTTCACCCACCTCCTCCAGTTCGCGCCCAAAAATTTCAACTCATTCCGTTAAGGTAGAACTTTCCTTTTCTATCGAAATCATAGTGTATGACGATAAACATGCGTTTTATAAAGTGAATTTGTCAGCTTTAACAGCAGAGGCTTCTCTAACCAATATTTATATGAAATTAACGCTTTTGCGTCAATTGCTATCATATAAAAACAAAACGCAACCATCATGTATTCCAAAGTGGATTGTCGCCCATCTTTTGTAAATATATTTAACCAGGTGGTAAGTCTGAATAAAGCGGAAGACAAAGAAAACCATTTTATAAAACATTTCAACAATTGGTCGCTTAAACGAAGCATTTAAGTGTCATATTTTCCCAATTTTCAAATATATATATTCCTCAGCTTTAGTCGCAATGTGTATAACATTAGGGAAGAACACTATCTGGAATAATCTGAGCATTTTTTCCCGAATGAAGTCGGTTTTTGGAGGAAACTAACGCTGCGTGGGAATCGACCAAATCGTTGAATGCTAGTAGAATGTGAATAGCTCCTATATATTTGATTGCAATGAAATAGATCGATATATTTCTATCACTCGCTTTTGTATCTCGTTCAGTTTTGCCGTTTGCAAGTACCTATATCGTAAAATAGTTAATAACAATACACTGGGGTTTATTCCTATATAGAAGAAAAATCGTAGCAATGTGACTGTTCGTCTCTGCTTGACACGGGGATCTTTTAGGTGAAGTTGTTTCATATTCTTATGATTATTTCAATTAAGAAATTGAATTTGTAATACTTACCCAAACAAACACAGTCCTCTGCGGTCACAGAGGTCTGCATCGTTAATTTAGTACTGAAATGTTTTCAAGGTGTTTGCGAAAAGCGAAATGTTTAGTCTAAACGCTGGTCGGATCAATATCAGTATCTGGGCAACTGCCCACCTACCCCCCCCCCCAACTAAACAACAGTTAATTGACAACAAGTTAAGATTAATGTTGAGTTAGGGGAGGGGTAGGTGGGCAGTTGCCCAGATACTGATATTGATCCGGCTGGTCATTACAACAGCCTACAAACACAGAATGGGTCCCCACGATCCTTTTATTGATTCATATTTGTAGAAGGAAAAATTGACAATAAAGAAAACCTGCGTTTCCACGCGAAGAGTGTGATAAGCGTGTTTAAGTTATTCCCATGTGAATGTATGAGTGACAGTTTCACGCAAAAACAATACGCAAATAAAGGGAATTGTCAATAACATCAATAATCAATAGGTCTTCATCTTGGACAAAAAATCTAAGAGACTTCTTTCCTTCAGTCCCCTGGCTGATTTATGTAACTGCCATCGAATGACACGAATTGTTTAACGGGAACTCAATGACAGCTGCGGATCAAATCACTGCATCGCAGTGAAAAGGTATTGAATAAATAATTCAGAATATATCTTCGTATTGAATACCCTTTATTAAATATCTTGACAGATTCTGAACAACAAAAGTTGGTTCAAGGTGCCCGATTGGGCTGACGTTCATGTGAGTTTATTATGTAAGACTACATGTAAAGGTCTCCAGAACCAGGCTCCTCTGTAGGTGGAGGTGGACGGACACATTTGAAGCGCCTGCGGTGATGAGGATGTCTTTCCCCTGCCGGGGTGGGACGGCCGACACGTTTACACACCAGTCCATCTCGACAACCGTGGTGACAGAGATACTATTATAGAAGATACAAAGTCAACAACATGTTGTGCTGACGCACACTCAAAGTTATTGCCGTAAAGTTGATCGCTGTTGCCAATTTCATGTTTAATTTGTTTGATTTGGTGAACTCTCGTAACGGAGATCTCAAAAACTAATCTTAAATTCGGCCCCGTTGTCAACAAACCCAGATGACCATTACCGTATTATGTTTGCCCCTAGCCTGTAACAATTTTAAGCCACACGCGTACGTTGCGTCATAAAAAGAATTGCTCCTCTCCCTCAGACCCTCTTCCAGTATTATGTGCTCGTTTGTTTCTTTTGTTGTAATGATCATTAATTTGCTGACAAAAGACCGGAGGACATTGGTATGAGTCGGGGAGGATAAGAAAGCCAAAAATCAACTCTTAGGCTAAGAAAGGTGTCGCTACTCTTTTGTTCGTCTTACGCCTTAAATATCAAATTTACATTTCAAGAAAACCGGAAGAAGCACTTGGGAGCAGCTATACTCGGGTTGGTCAGCGAAGTTTTCTTAATCAAACCCGCTTATATGTAATTAGTTGCCACGAAAAAAGCATGAAAAAGAAGCTAGAAATAGTTGTTTTTGTTTTTCAACTCGTGAAGATAGTAGCTGAGGAAATTGTAAAGGTCTTTCGTTTAACAAGAGCACAAATACGTGAACTCACAGCAGGCGGCTTCTTGCGACAAGGCTGTCCCAGTCCTCTCTGTTGAAAGCATTCATACCAATACCATACTATCCTGCAGCATTCTCCAACTTTACACTTTTTCTTACACTGTGATGTGAGAACATTGTGTCGTCAGTGTAAATTATGAGAGATTTCAATCTAGAACAGAGAGTCTTCCGACAACTTTTTTTTCCAATTTGGAAATCTTCATCGAATAAAACTTTTTCCGAGCATTTTTCCCTCATAGGGCTTATGTATATTTTTACGTTTAATTTTCGAGTTTTACTACCTCATCATAGACAAAAATATGTTTACAACGTAATTAAAAAAATTGAAAAATACCTTGCGCATTCGATAGTCATTTTCTTCTCCAAAAGATTCTACAACTAAAGCGACCACCAGACAAAAACCAAACAACACTGCCGACTTCATTTCGCTTAAACGGCAGGATCCTGAGTCGATACACTGACGTTTTTGTCTAGGATAGAACAATTCTCAATAGCATTTCCTATTTAAGTCCAGCTCTTTAGCTTTTCAACAAAACTGATGGAAAAGAAAGAATAGCTTTGGAGGGTGGCTTTGGAGTATTCAAAATATCTGTCATGATTTGAATCAAATGATCCATTTTACAACTACAATGGCATTGGTGCTTCCAAGAAGTTTATTAATTTAGATTGTTGATTCAAAAAAAAAGATTTGTTTCTCCCTTTCCCTTTCTACAGAATACTAAGGGTCATTCAATGGGCTCTAAAGGTCTTTAAACAGCTGACGACTGAATAAAAGTTCATTGTGAGCAATTTAGTGTCTGTGTAGGTTGACTGTCATCTCACTCTACTTTGGTATTGGCTTATTATTTAGCGTGATTATCTCAGATTTTTGCTTCAATCATTCTTCAAAAGTCTGATTTGTTCTATTTTTGAGAGACGTCTAAACATGCCCTTTGTTTTATTCATGGATAAACTGGCACCTGAGGCAGGTGTGGATACAAGCTTCTTTTCGATTTCTGGCTTTTGATTAGTTAATGACGCTAGCAAATTCGTTGAGTTCATTCTTATTCTCTGTCATATCAAATCTCGCCATCGTGCGTCTCGCCTTGGACAATGCAAAGCGTTCTTCATATTTTTCGGTCTTGTTTCATGAGTAAATGATGAAAACATGTTCCTAAAGTTTCTCTGTACTTTTCTATTGAATTGCTGTCGTTAAACAGCTTCTTTGAATGGAAGCATACCAATGAGGGCGATATGAACGTGTGCAGTAACTGTTTGTTATTGTGAGTCTAGTATAAATAGATCGATTCGCTTATGGAGCGGGCTAGAATTCCTGGGTACGTGTAATCGGAGTCATGCTTTCTTTGTTTGGGACTCCAGTTTTCAGGAATCACATTCTAGAACAAATTCCTCAAAAGCACAATCAAAAGTCACACTTCACACATTTCGCAAATCATATCACGCATCGCAATCATGTCAAGCAACATGCATCATGTGTCAGTTCACACTTTTTATTGATCATCTGGACAGTTTACTAATCTACAGTTCAATCGTAATTATATCATTTCGACTTGTATTACATCATGTGTCACGTGTATTTTCTGATATTCTTCTCTTAGTCGTCTACATCCCCAGAGCCTGGTTCCTCAGTGGGCGGGAGCGGACGAACACACCTGGCCTTATTATGGTGACGAAGATGATGGAAATTAGTGTCCCCACGTTTTACACACTCCAGACCGTCTGCACAACCGTCATGACAGTTTCTTCTAGACTGCAGAAAAAGGAAAATAAGATGCCGGAAATGAATCGAAATATGTGATATTTATTTGGTTGTCTTAATGAAACTTGAGAGAGTTTATATGATTTACTTTGCTGCAAGAGCAATGGAAAATCATTTGAAGCTTTTATTTTGTTGTTATTGTCTCAGATTTATTTTACTCTAAGTGTTTTCATCGACTGTTGGCAACATTTGGAAGTTAAAGTACTAACTTTCAATCATGATCGACGAAAAAAGTGAAACACACTTACAGTTTTCGGAAGGCATGATTGATTTTCTGTCTTCTGTTTAAAGCATCCGCGTTTTTTCCGAAACCAGGACCAGTAAAGTCTGCAACATTCTCCAGCTCTGCAGTCTTCATTTTTTCGGCACTGAATAGGGAGGAAAGGCACCAGGCCCTTTGTGACACCTAATTTAAACTCGCTTACTGGAAACGATACGTTGGAGGTTCGCAACTATTGAACCTGGTCCACACTTTGTAAGTTCGAGAGCTCATGTATTTTCCTCAAGTGAACTTAAACTGGACAGTCCCAAATAAATATGATCATTGTATTCACAGTTCGTTTTAATGTGTGCTTTTGAGAAAAATGGTGTTCGAAAAGCATTGAAGGCAAAGAGATATGTGCTCAAAGTAACAAGAACATGAAAAAAAGAAATCTGTTTTCCATCTCCATTTTTCAAAGAGTTATCTATAGCTTATCGCATTAAGCACGAAAAAAAATGCTGTATATTTTTACGATTGGTACATTTTAAATTGATGACTTACGCGGCGCAAATGATGACGCGCACCATTTTCCTCTGCGTCTTCTAAATATTCATCTTCTACAAAACTGGGTTCAGCTGCAACAAAGACGAGAGTCATGCAAAGCGTTAAGAATAAAAACAGTTTCATGTTGTTAGCGTGCTAAGGATCACAAGCTTCTGTTAGACCCTAAGACTAAGCTGTGTGTTTTATTATTTCTTCGATTAAAGCTGTTTAATCACAAACGCAAATAAAAAGACAACAAACGTCTTGGCTCGCAAAGAAAGAGCCAGGTGTCAAAACAGTGAAGCGTCAATCTTATTCAAACACTGCCAAACATTAGTTTTATCTAACTGAAAAAGTTAATTAAAACGGAATCATTATAGAGGAAAACGGAATTAAAAAGAGGAGCACAGTCATTTTAAATTATGCACAGCATTTCATTTATGTTAGAATTTGAGAACGTACTCCGGAAAGGTAACATCATGTCATCGGTTGCATTTCAAAAAAGCTTGCTGTCCTCTCGATTTCGTCTTCAATTCAGCACTATATAAAAGACCTTTAATCAGCTGACCCGTAGGGGCACAAAAGTGTTTTTGTTCACGTGTTCAGAATATTTAAAGGTTGCATTCACATCTGAGCCAGCTGAGGGTGTTTTTCTTTTCTTCAAAATCTTGTTCATGTTAGGGATGACGTTGCGGTTGCCTCACTGATGCAATGTGCAATGGCGCATCCAAGGCCAATAACAGGGCATGTGGCGTCGAAAGATCTTTCTTTATCGGCCTTAAATTTATCTAGATTTCCGTCTAGTCATAAAGATTCTCTTTTTTTTTTAGACAAAATAACACGGTCGTATCACAGTTCTATTTTGTAGAACTGTTAGGGCTAAGAAAAAATGTTAGTTCGCTTTGTTCCAGCTCCCTTAAGATAGCTTTTAAATCCTATCTCATGACTAGACGAGTGCCTGTCATCTGCAACTGCAAGCATACACACATCTATTATGTCGCTTTTTCATTTGAATGTCCGGTGCACATGATTCAGAAGGGGTAAAATCAATTTCCTTTCCCCCTAGAAAAATTCTGAGGATATTAGGCGTGATGAGTTCTACTAAGTGAGCTCACGAGGTTTTGAGCAATAGGCTATTGCTTTTGAAAAGGACACCTTAACCCTATAACCACTAAGAACGACCAGCGTCTAATTTCTCCTTACAATATCACCCCTTGAATCACACATTGAGGTCGTGGGAATAAAGGAAATGATCACCAACTAAAGAAGCTCCTGATTGTTCAACAAATTCTCCTTGTTAGCACCTAAGGAAATGTATAGAGAACAGTAAGGAGAAAATGCATAATGATGATAGGGTGTAAAGGGCTAAAACACTTTTCCTAATTGAGACGAAAACAAGAGAAGTAAAAATAAACCAATAGGGAACGAAGATGGTTGACCCTTTGCACCAATATATCAGAATGCATATTCTCCAAACTGTCCTCTATGCATTTCCTTGGATGCTGACGAGGAGAATTCGTAAGAGTATCTTAGGTTGGTGATCGATATCTCTGCTCTCCTGACCACAATGTGTGATTCAGGAGTGAGTTTTTAAGAAGAAATAAGATGCCTGTCTCTCTAGAGGATTAAGATTGAAGTAGATTAACAAGGTCTGAAACTGACGAAACTAATAAATTCTGTTAGTTTTTGCAAAATTCACAAACTCTGACGTGTTACTGCGTAATTACGAACATACGACACTTACATAAATCACACGTAAAGACAGCATTGGGTTAAGGGAAAAGAAGAAAAAATCACGCACAAAGTCTCTTCAACGAGTATTTCCCACAACTGATTATAAAAATCGCGTTTTTCAGTGAAACCCAAACCCAAACCCTAAGCAAAGTAAAACATATGTACTATATTTTAGTCCTATCATGCGACGTGCAGAGTGACCTTCGACTTGCCGGATAATTAAAGTAAAAGGCGCACTTATCGATTGATTGTTTTGTAAACCTCAACCACCAAATTGTGATCGGTTCCTATATCTTGTTGTTGGTCAAACCAGTTCAATGCTTCAACTTCTTGATTTTCTTTCCTGGCGGAATCCACTTCAGACATAACGCGTGTACGACAGTACTGGTTTGCGGTAGTGCGTACTCTTGACTTATTATAGAAGTTTGCAAGGGTCTAGTTGTACTTACAGAGCGAGGATGACAGAGGCTGGTCTCTTTCTTCTTATCTCTGCACCAGGAGAAACCTAGCTTTTCAAAACAGCACCCTTTTTAACAGTCTGCATTGCTGGAACATCGCTGGAAATTAAACAGTAGAATAGATTCAAGGACATGTTTAGTCCTGGATGATGTCCATGCTATAAACAGAAGCAGGTGGCGATACACCAGTCACAATGTAGACCATGTAATGAAATCGCTTTCGTAAATAGCACATATTTAAAAAGAGTAGGATTTAACATAGTTAACTTTATTAGAAGCTCTGTATTTGTTGGTTAGAATATCACGCAATATCTTGGGTCAGTTTCACTGTTTAAATTTTGTGGTTAATAAAAAGTCGGCCTTGTAGTTTTAAGATAATTCTTTATATCAACACAAAACCTTTGACGTCAACTGGAAGGAGTTGAAAATGACAGTTTATTACTGTGCTGAGAAGTGATCCAGAGTGTAAAACCTCCTTAAGAGGACAAGTTTACTTACTTTTAAATATGACTATGGTTACAAAAATTATTTGTCTTCTTGTTACCAAGCCGAAGCGAAACCTTTAAGTTAGTTACTTTTACAGCCAAACTTTGCCAACAGAGGGCACTTACCTTCTTTTTAAAAGATCAAAAGCGCCTATAATTTTGAACCTCGTCTTCCAGAAAGTTTTCTTCCGCAGACGAATAAACTAAGAAGGCAAACGTTGGGCACAGAAGCAAAAACAAGTCAAATTTCAAGTCATCGTTTCTGACACGAGATCACTATAGATGAAGAAATGATGTGATACCTCTCTCCAAACGACGCACCCGCAATGAAACACCAACGAACAAAAACGACGTGTCATCTGGCTCTTCCCTTATTACAAGACTCCCGATCAAAGAAAAGCTTTTATGAGATAGCAACCATGTCGTTGATTTTGATTTGATCGCGAGTTCATGCGATCGGGGTCCATAGTTTGGATGCAAAGTCTCAGTTCAGTTCTTTTAAATATGGTTTGGTCTTACATTGCCTTTATTTCTACAAATGTATGTCATAACCCGAATTATCTAACTATTGATTCTCCCCTCTTGGTCATACACAAATCCTTGTAAGTAGGTAAAGAGAATTTAATTTATATCAAGATAACTTTGTCGACGCTTAACGCATCAGTGCTGTGATGATGTATTGAAATTGTGTTGATGACTTTCACCCCTGAGAACAAAAACAGCAAACGAATAACTGCAGCTGCTGATATAGTCTCAGTTAATTTGGATGGCTGACGCGTTTGGCGGTAAGAAATTCACAAGGTAATTTCGCATTTTAAATTTCATTTCCGTTTCTGCACTTTTAAATGGATATAATTTTTCATATTTCTTCCCCAAAGATTGGTAACTCTAAAAAGAACAAACGGTTCATATTGCACCTTTCATTTCCTGCTCGATATTGTTTTTCATGTTATATTGAAAAAAATTCCACCAAAAATGAATTCAATGTTTGCAGGTGAACAAACACTTGGTATTGCTCAAATTTACTGGTTGTCACCTTGTCAGTTTATAGAGTTCCCATGTAAGAGTTTCGAATTGAATAAGCAATTCAGAAAGATGCACTAAAAGATACCAAGAACATAAGTTAAATTGGCAGAATCACTTGCTGCTATCACTGATAAATGTCTCTATTTTAATTACCATTTATACATGCCCAATTCCAGAGGGAGGAAATGAAAATTTCTATTGAACCCGGTTGACTGCGTATTGCAATTACAAAACTTGAGTGGCATGCGTAGCTGACATGAATTCTTTTTTGAGGGCGAGGAGAAATGACACAAATCAATTCTCACTGACATGAATTTCCCACACGGTATTGCGTGTGCGGCCCTTTTGAATAAAGAGAAGGTACACAATTCATGCATTCATGACTGTTTATTTAACGCTGAACAACTTACAATCTCTTGAACAGTCAAAAGTCGTGTTTCTCTTCACTATGGTTAATTCACATATCCACATCATCAGGATCACGACCTGCCCTATGGTTGAGCGCATTTGTAGAAATTGAAGTGACCAATTCCAAAACTCTTTTTACATACCAATCCTTCCAGGCATTTCCAAGAGCAGTTCTGTTTCAAGGTAAAACAATTGAGTCAGTTATTCAAACAAAGTTTAGACGTTATTTAACAAAATGGCGTTCTAAACTATCTTCAATTTAGCTGAATTTTTTATTTGAACATATATTTTTGTTAACAGTGTTCAGAACGCCAAAAGCTGGCAGCCAAAGGACATTTTTTAAATGAAAACAACCCTCTTACAGAGAATAAGTAAGGCCCACCGCTTGCGTAAAACCACAGTTTGTATTAGACCTCGTGTAACCAGCCCAATGCGTTAAATAGGCCTGAGAGGGTAGGGTCTGATTTTATAGGTGCACACCGGTTTATGGTGCTTATTTGAACATATCAGCACCAATAGCATAAAAATTTTTTCGGGAAGGTGGCATTGTTCTTGACCCTTTTCACCCTAACATCAGAATGCATATTCTCCATACTGTTCTCCAAACATTTCCTTAGGTGGTGACAAGGAGAATTTTTTTCACGATCAAGAGCTTTTTTAGTTGATGATCATTTTCCTTTTTCTCATGACCTTAATGTGTGATTCAGGGGTGATATTGTAAGGAGAAATTAGATGCTGGTCAATCTTAGGGGTTAAAGGGTTAAGGTGTGTTTTAGAGCGCATTTCGATGGGGTATAATAAAGTGTTGTAGGTGAATTATTACTATCAGTTTTGACTAGTTACAATATGCGGCAAGTTTTAAGATTTCAATCTACAAACAATCATTTCGAAAATAAAATCTCTGGGACGAAACACAGTCTGCACCACTAAATCGGAAATTCAAAAGCTGATGAACTTCAAACTCTACCACCGCAAGACTATTTAGGCTTGAAGGAGTCGAACACTACTTACAGAGTATGGATGACAGATCCTGCCCAGTCCCTTTTTTCCCA